GTTTTCCTGGGATTGAAGCCACTCTGAATAGGGGTTTATGACTGGCTCACTCCTAGAACTTTCTCTTAGTCTAAGGCAGGTGGGGTAGACTGAGCCTTTCTGTAACTGAAGATTCTCAAATGTCTTCAGCTCAAAATATTTTTTTTTTGGTCTTTTTGAGACAAAAAGACCTGTAGCCCTGTAGCCCCAGCTGTCGTGGAACTCACTATGTAGACTCTCAGAGTTTCAAGCTCACAGTGCACCACAACGCCCGGCTTCAAAATAATTTTTATGCCACTATTTTGTTTTTGAGACAGGGTCTTATATAACCCAGGCTGCCTCAAACTCATTACATAGCTGAGAATGACCTTGAGTTTCTGATCCTCCCCTAAGGTCCAAGCATCACCTGCAGCAGTCTGGATTCCCAGGAGAGCCACTGGCCTGAACAGCCTGTGGGTTGAGAAATCTGGGGCTCCTGCAAGGATGAAGTGTGGGTAACTCGAGCATGACTTGCTAGGAAAGGGCTCTGTGAAGGTTAGTACAGACACAAATCTATAGAATTACAGATCCATTGGTTTAGAAAGTCACACCAAGTGGGAATGCTTAAGAGACAGCCAGGACAGAGGACCCAGGGGGCCCAGGAGAGCTGACGGCTGGGTGGGACAAGTGAGAAGGGCTCCAGAGGGAAAAGTGACAGGGTAGGGTGACTGTGGCCATTTGAATCTAAAATATCCCCACAGGCTTATGTTTGGAATGCTGGGTTCCAGGTTGTAGTGGTATTTTAAGGGCTGGGAGCCTGGCTGACAGCAGTAGTCAGTACAGGTAGGCCTTTGAAGGTTGTGCATGTCTTCCCTACTGTGACAGACTGAAACTTTGGAAACCATGAATCAAGTTTCAGTCTATCCCTTAAGCTATTCCTGTTCATAGAAACATGAAAGTAACTAATACAAACTGGACATGCCCCCCTACAATAAAGTTTAATTTATGTTATGCATAAATGAGTTGAACAACAGTATTTAATAATAAACTGGGGTATAGCTCAGTAGTAGAGTGCCTGCCTAGCATGTGCAAAGCCTTGGATTAAATCACCAGCACTGCAAAAATAATGTTATTATTAATAACAGAACAGTTATAACAACATACGGTACTATAATAAATGTTTTGTGGTTTCTTTGTTGTCCCCCCCCACACCTTACTGTTTTATAAATGCCTCCCTTGTGATGATATGAAATGATACAGTGCCTGTGAGGAGACAGAGTGAGGTGAGGTAGGCACAGCAGTACAGCATTTCTTGACTACGTGAGAGTTCTTGCACCACATGACTACAGGTTATTTGAAGCTGGGCACTATGGCATAGCTTGTGGTCCCTGCTAGTTAGGAGTCTGAGGCAGGAGGATCAGTTGAGTCCATGCGCTTGTGGTCATCCTGGACAAAATAGTGAGGCATGTCCATAAACAATGACAGCAGAGTACTTGAATTATTTCTGGAATCTTCCTTTTTTTTCAGACTGTAGTTGACTATGAATACTCAAAACTATAGAAAGCCAAACTGTTGATAAGAGGGTTTACTGTATTTAGAAATTGGTTTTGAAGATATCAAGTTAAAATGAAGTCATAATGGATTAAGATGGACTCCAAAGCCAATAAATATAAAGTCCTTATAAAAAGGCCAAGGAAGATATAGACACACAGACACACAGGGACAATGCTATGACAGTGGAGACAGAGATTGAAATGATGTTTCTGCATGCTGGAGAACATCAAGGTCTGTTGGTAACCACCGTCAGCAGCCACAAAGACACAGAGGTGATCCTCCTTACACACTTCAGAGAGCATGGTCCTGTGCCACCTCCATTTTAGACTCAGCATTCAGAAATGTGAGAGAATAACCGTTATTTAAAGCCACCCAGTGTGGTCATTTGTTAAGAGCATTCCTGGAAAATTAGTATTACTAGAGAACGTGTAGCTAAACATGCATACAGCTTGCATTCACATGTGCTTCTGTGTTGTATGTTTAAGGCCATGATGCATTTGATTCTAATGCAACAGCAGAATCCATTTATTTTCTCCTCTCCGTATCTGTACATCTTTGCTCCTGCAGTGGGAAACTTGACTCCTATTATGTATAAAATATCCATTATTTGATCAGTTCCCCCCTGGGTAGCAGTCTCCACCGCATCGTTCTTCACACAGCTGCTCTGTCTCACTCTGCCCATGTTCTGACCCCTTGTCAGGTCATTCTGCTAGAGAGACACACTCCTTACCTCCAACACCCTGAGCCAGGCCAGTCTGCATGGGTCCCTCCTCACCCAGCTCTGCATCTACCACATGCTGGACTGGGATGCCTTGTGCTGATTTTTAACATTACATAAGCTATATGCTGTACATTTCCTTCTGCAATCTGCTTCTTCACTCAACATTCTTTAAGAAATTCACTCAGACAGGTGCATGTAACTTTAGTTCACCAATCTGTGAACTAAACACAGATTAGTGTGATAGGCTGTGTAGTATTTCATATGAAACTACCACTGCTGAAAAACATTCAATTGTTTGCATTGTTTTGCTGTGACATTCATGTACTTGTCTCCTGGTGCATACCAGGCAAGTTTTTCTGGGACACGTCCCCAGGGATGGCTTTACTTCATGGAGGGTGCGCATCATCACATTTACTGGGCACAGCCAAAATGTTTCCCAAAATGGTCTACTTGTCCTCTCCTGCTTCTCTCACCAGAACAGAAGTGGAACTTCTACTGCCCCACTTTCTTGGTTGAAACAAAACACTTGGGCTTGAAAAATGTTGCCTGTCTTGAGGCGCAAAGGGATAGCTCGCTCTGATTTTATTTGTAGTGTCAGCCTTCCAATGAAGCTGAGCATCTCTCTGTGTTTACTGGGCTTAGAGGTGGCACACACACTCTTTGCATGTAGGTTGTCTTTAAATCCTTCAGGGTTTTTGATTTTGTCTCTTCTCAGAATACTCCCAAGTTAACTGTGGAGGTATTAAGTGGGAGACTGCTTGGCTGTGATTTTCTTCTTCCTCCCTGGCCTCCTTCAGTAACTAAAGACTATAAAAAAAAACACCCAGTTGTATTCTTATAATGATCTCACAAAATGGTTAAGCCAGCACTGTGCCCTCTTCTCACTTTAAGTTGTTTTAGGAAATTATCTCCAGCCTGTGCTTCCCATCAAGAACAATGTAGGGCATGTTGACTGATGGTAGCTGGACTCTAGGGATAAGGAGAAAAGAAGGAACTGAGTGTTTGGTCTACAAATATTTAAAAGGTATAAAACCAACACTTATCAATGATGATTGTGTGTCACAGATCTGTTTGATCAAACTCACTTATGGTGCTTGAAGAAACAGAAATGCAAACCTTTCTACAGGCAGATAAACAGCTTTCAAAAGCCCCCTAAGCTGGGTGCCATTCCTGTACCCGCTTGTTTCCTTGCTTGTACATGTCAGAGAAAGTCCTGGGTGGAGCTCAAGAGCTAGTTCTCCTCAACTCCAGTGAGCAAAATCAAACCACTGGCTAGTCACTATCTCCATCCCCTGCCCCTAAGGAAGCCTAATGAGGAAACAAAATCTAAATCAATTACTGATATGAACTGTGTGGAGCTATATGCTAGCAAGTCCATGTTGGATTGCATCAAATCATTCCAGGTCAAATGGAAGGACCTGCTCTCCTCAGAATCTTATACACTGTGCCTCAAACACCCACCAAGCAAAAGGTCCTTCAGATCTGCCTTCCCATCAACATCATCTGCTGGGCTGCCTTTGGGTCCTAAGGCATCCTTTCAGTTTAACTGAAACTATGACCTTTTTAGTTTGTACCGTGAAGTTGGAGCCTAAACTACAAAGTTTCATTTTGTGTTTTTGAGATGGGTCTCATTTTGTAGTCCAGGCTGGCATGGAACTATGTAACCCAAGCTGGCTTCAAACTTGTGGCAATCTTCCTGCCTCAGGTTCCTGAGTATTATGATTATAGGCATAAACCACATGTCCAGCTATTTTTTTTTTATCTTTTTGAGACAGAGTCTCCCTGTAGCCCCCACTGGCCTAGAACTCACTATATAGACCAGGCTGGCCTTGAACTCACAGAGATCCACCTGCCTCTGCCTCCTGAGTGCTTGGATTAAAGTGTGTGCTACCACGCCCAGCCCAACTATCATTTTATATCCCCCTAATGTTGCTTTTCTTTGTTCATTTTGGTAAGCATTAGATGGAAGTTTCTGGAAACATGGCTTTTTTCTTACCAGAATTCTTTTATATGTTCTAAAGCTACAAAGATTATAGCCATAATATGTCTATAGGGTGGAGCAGAATCTGCTTGTCTGAATCCCACCAGGGCCACCTGAATTATCTGCTCTTAAAAATAAAGAAATTGGGCTGGGCATGGTGGCACACACCTTTAATCCCAGCACTTGGGAGGCAGAGGCAGGTGAATCTCTGTGAGTTCAAGGTCAGCCTGGTCTACACAGTGAGTTCCAGGACAGCTGGGGCTACAGAGAGACCTGTTTCAAAAAGACCAAAAAATAAAATAAAATAAATAGAAATTGGGGTTTGAGAGATGACTAAGCAGTTAAGAGCACTGGATGCTCTTGCAGAGGACCCAGGTTCAGTTCCCAGCACCCACATGGAGGCTAACAATTGTATATAACTCCAGTTCCAAGTGATCCAACACCCTCTTCCAGCCTTCATGGTCACTGCACGCATGTGGTACACATATATACATGTAGGCAAAGCATTCATACACATTTAAAATCATCAGAAATTGCCAGGCATGGTGGCACTGGTCTATAACCCAATGCTTCAGAGGCTGAGGCAGGAGGGCTGCAAGTTTGAGGCTAGCCTGGGCTACACAGAGAGATACCTTAGTTCAGAAAAGAAAAAGTTTATATTCACACATAAAAACAATTTAAAACACTTTAAGACAAAACTCTAGTTCTAGCATCAGAAGTTTTTCTCAAACTTTTTATACAATAATTTACTCTTATTAAAAGTTTGGGGATTTTTGATTACTAAAGTAATACATACTTTTAATAGAAAATACAAAATGTGTAAAAGAGACTAGGAGTCACTAACAATTCTAAGCAGCTGATCACTGCAAAGATTCACTTTGCAGCCTCGCCACACTCACACTCCTAGTCTAGTCAAACAGCAGCCTCAATACATTTGTGTCTTTTCTCATAGGAAATTACAAACACATTCTTAAGAAATACTGAAACAGAGTGAGGTTTCTTTACAAAGTAGCTTTCTACAAAATCTCCATTTTCCAAATTCCTCTGATACAAACTACTGAGCATTTGTTAAAATAAGCACCAGAAGAGGAAGAAGAGAGCAGAGAAGGGGTGAGGCTCATCTCCAAACTCCTCCCCGATTCCTCAGGTTACTAGGGGCAGGCTGCCCACTTTTCTTCCGAGCAGGTTTTTCGGTCTTAGAGGCTGAAGCAAGGCGGCGAGGAACAGCCTGGGAGGGGATCTAATAATTGAGGGAAAAGGAAAAAAAAAAAAATCAGCCTTATATACTACTATTCTCCTTTACCCTGTGGAAGAAGGGCAGGGTGCATAGAGAGGGCCAAAGCCAGCTATCAGGGGTGAATAGAAGGTCATGGCTTTAGCAAGTGGGATATGGGATCTAAGGGGCCAGCCAGGGAGTGTGGAAAGCTGAGGGAACTGGTCACCTGAGGGCCCTGCTCTCCCCTGGCCCCTGCCTGACTTTCCCTCACCTCTTTCCGGGGGATCTCACCCAAGCGGGAATCTGTATTCCTTCTGGGGACAGTCACCCCTTGGCCATCAGTCCTGCCACATAAATCAAGGTTATCAGGACACAGGAGATATTCCCCAATTCCACCCAACACTATACAGAAATTGAAATGCTCCCCAATTTTCCCTCTTAAGAATAGAAATATGAGTCGGGGGATATAGCTCAGTAGAGTGCTTGTCTCACAAGCATGAGGCCAGAGGTTCAATCTCCAGCACTACAAAAAGGGAAAGGAAAGAAACAATTAAGAATGTGATAGACCTGGAGGCCGTATGGAAGGAGACTTAGTAGAACCTAATGAATTACTCTAGATCCAAGCTTTGAAAACTGGCCTCTGTGGGGCACTGCGTGCACGTGGTGCACTTACATATATGCAGGCAACCTATGGGCTGCAACCCTCTGGGGTGGCATAACTGAATCTGGAGGTGAAAAAAATCTGACAACAGTGAAAGGTTTCTGAGTACACAACAGCCCAAAGTTAATTCAAAAATCAAGTGCATAATGAATGTGAGGTGTTTCTGGCCAGTGTTGCACTGTGGGTCTTTACTGCAGTCTGGATTAGAACACACAACACACATACTTTGCACTATGCATGCCATCGTGCCATGTAATGCCAGTGAATGTTGCTTGAAACACATTGACTCCGATTCCATATTATTGTGTGTCATGAGTTGCAGTGTTTTTACTGCACACACAAAGTTTCTGCTCTTATAGAAACACACTGGTTTAATTACAGAAAACAGGCCGTGTGTATGTTTGTGTGTACAGGGGCACATGCACATGTGTGAACATGCATGTGGAAGCCAGAGGGCAGTCTCAGTGCCTCCTCACTTGCCATCCACTTTAGTTTTTGCGACAGGGTCTCTCATTGGCTGGGAGCCCCCCCCCC